TTTATCACTTCGGTATGGACACTGGATCGACTCCGACATGGCACTTTGGTTCGGGGCAGGTATAGCACAGGCCTTGGTGGTACTCGCGTGGCACATATTTGGCACCATTCTCTGGTCACGACGACATGATTGGGCTACGACATGTGTTACGCGGTTCTGTTACATTTGGTATGGTTCATTCACGGCACGGTATGATGTTACGCTGATTCGAGACGGGGTCAGCACGTGCACGGTGACAATTTGGCATTCGTGTGGTACGGTACAATGGCACGTCTACAGTATGGTTGGTATGCTGCGCTGATCTGGTACGGCTCACGGGACACTGGTTCGGCTCATCCACGGTATTGGTACAGCATGGTGTCCTCTGATCTGGTTATGCTGGTACGTGCAGAGGACACAGTCCTTGTTTATCAGCGATTCTTAGATTGGTGCGAAGCACGGAATTGGTATTGTATGGTACCACCGCGTGGTACCCGACAATGGACTTGGACAGGCTGCGGCTGTCGAAAATAATAACGTCGGGGCTTTGACATATTCTGGTCCAGATACAGTGGACCTACAAGTTCGGACTGCACTTGGCCTGGTGCGGCGCGCTGGTGTTATTTGGGGAGGCCAGCTCCAAAGGTATTATTCAAGAGCTACTCTACTGTGAGCGGTACTTATTTCACCCCCTCGGGTCCTGGATCGGGCCTGCTGGTTTAAACCTCGGACCAGTCAAGGGAACCGCGGGTCTGCTTGGCAAGTTTGAAGGTCTGGTACCTTCAGTGCCAGTTTTCGGCTGTGCGCAGGGCTGGTGTCGCGACCCGAAACCAATATAGGAAGAGTGGCAGAAGGACACAGGGACATTCGGCAGTTGGGTGACCAAGGGGAACTGAGCGGAACTGGAGCGGGCGACCAGCGTGACCAGGGTGACGCCCACACGGACAGCGAACGACGGCGAGCGCAGCGAACGTACCTGTCCGCGAGGCACCGTGGTTCAGCGCTGGTTACGGTCAACGGTAGGTATGGCGGCCGCTTGTGTGTGTGTGTGACTGGATGAGATAGCAAGGTCGAGGGGGGGAGTGACTGTGTGCATGCACGCTCGGGAGCAGAGAGCGGAGATATGGGGATAAAGGGAAAGTGAGCAAGAGGGCGAGTAGGAGAGAAATGGTGGGTGAGAGGGACCGAGCTCGCCTGGAGTCATGAGAGAAATGTGTGTGAGAAGAGAAGAAAGTCTGCTTGTTTATTTTCTCACAGCCACGCACCTGGCCATGGGTGAGTCCAGGTGCATTTTGAATTTGGAACCAGCTATCTGATCCGTTGGTGAGAGAAGTGAAACTGGCTATGTGCACGCGTTGGAGCAGCAAAGCAAGAGCTCGCCTATGACTGGAAGAGGAAACGCGTGTGTTGAAGAGAGAGAGAGTCACTCAGAACGGCTGCGGGCAAGGGGAATCCTACTGTTGTGATGAACCCAAAGGATCATGACGCACTATAATTTCTGTCCAGTGCTCTGAATGTCAGAGTGACGAGGTTCAACAGAGCGAGGGAAAACAACAGGAGTATCTATGGCTCTCGTAAGCCAGTCTAAAGCCACGTCATCTAATTTGAGGCGCACATGGATGTAATAACGAGATTTCCACTGTCCGTATCTACCACCCTGCGAAACTACAGCCAAAGAGAACGGGCTTGGAAGAATTGGCGGGAAGAAACGCAGATGACCATTTCGAGCACACAGCTATAAGAATTTTCTGCATGTATCTAACTGCAATAATTACGGGCAGTGCTGGATGTATGCGACTGCAATTGCGTCCAGAATCAGTCAAACCTTACCATGTGTATGGCCCCATGAGGATGAACCGGCCAAACAGATTGACTGGGGGGCTCCTTCCACGTGGCAGGTTCACAAAAAGAGAACAAAAGAATGAATGCACCTGTCCATGTTTGGCTGAAGACTCGTCTTATTTTCCCCCTATTGAGTGCCCTGCCAGCAACGAAAATGGTGGTGTATCATTCCGTGACCTAGAAGGAGAGATGTCCTCTTCTCTCCATTAGGTAAGTGACGCTGCACGTTGCAGAAAGGAAAAATAAAATAAAATAAAAGAATAAAATACTGCTGTGAATCTATCCATGTTTCTGCTGAAGATTCATTTCCTTTCCCTCATACGGTGACTGATCAACCGGCGCGTGGCACACTAAGTCCTTGTGCTAACACACACACACACACAGGGAGAGAGAGAGAGAGAGAGAGAGAGAGAGAGAGAGAGAGAGAGAGAGAGAGAGACAACAGGAGAGAGGGGAGACTGACAGGGCAGCAGAACGAGAGAGAGAGAGAGAGAGAGAGAGAGAGAGAGAGAGAGAGAGAGAGAGAGAGAGGCAGCCCCGAGACAAAGAAAACACAGGGAGAAGGAAAGCTTGTCATTGAGAGAGAGGTGAGTTAGAAAAAGAAGCCAGTCTCCTAGCAAACGGGACTGTACGAGGAAAGGGGGAAGTCTGTCAACAAGGCTGATTGGCGAAGCCAATCTAGAGAATGCGAAAGGTACGGGACAGCTTGAGCAGAAAACGAACGTGGCAGATTATGGGACGGTGTACCGTTCCTTCCCTCGACAACAGATACATTGGATCTGTCCAATCAGGAAGCGTCTAATTACTGTTCCATGCCTCATTTACAGATACATTAAATCTGCCCAATCAAGAAGCGTCTAATTACCGTTTCCTGCCACATCTGCAGATACATTGAATCTCTCCATTCAAGGAGCGTCAAATTACCGTTTCATGCCTCATCTCCAGACACATGGAATCTGTCTAATCAAGGAGAATCAAATTAGCCTTCCATGTTTTATCTGCAGATGCAATAATTACATCCAAAAAGGGGGGGAGAGGCTACAATTATTTTTCCATGCTTTCTCTGAGAACTCACTCCAACTTCATTCGGGGAGTGCAACAGGTTTCACTGTACAGGCGAACCTGACAGCGCAGGTCTAAACGAGAAACTGTGAATGCTTGAAAATCGTTGAAAGTCAATGTGTGAAAGATATTCTTCAGCATTGCTAAGCCGGTGAGTGGGAAGCCAAGCGAGCTCCCGTCACCCTGCTGATCGCTGAGGACCTCGGAAGCGGGCGCGGCGAGTGACAGGCGCCGTTGCCCTTGGCTTCAGCGAACAGGAGGCGCCCCTCCCGAGGTTTCCTCACAACGTGCCTAAAGAGACGCTAACACAAGCAGTCTCTGGACAGCTATCTAGGCACGGGCCTGCAACCTCTGCCATAGGCTCATGAGGGTTGGGAGTGTCCTGTTCGCGCGCGCTCACTTCTCCACATGGCCTAGAAGTAGGGGCAGTTGCAACCCCTACTGGCGGTTGCCTTTTGACTGCTGGGCAGCCCAACGGGCCTGTCTATACTTGGGACAAAATTTAATTACGTGCGCCGGGTCACCACAGAATACGCACTGACCCAAATTCACGCGTTCCTGCCATAATCGTTGGTCCAAGCCCAAGTCTTCCCGGGGCCTGCCCTGTGGCAAGCCTGGGTGCCATCCTCCTTGAGGTGCCCTTCCACCTCCTCGTTGTGGGGACCGATTACCCTGGCGATTTAACGGGGGACCTTGACCCCTACCTCCCGCCTTGCGGTTTCCCTGTCCGCCAACCCCCTGTGCGCCCGGTCCTCGGCCTCCCATGGCCTGGCCCCTTTGGCCCTGCCCTCCTCCTCTACCTTGCGGCCTCCCTCCGACCGCGACAGCAGCGTAAGACCTCCCCTACCCTACACTACTGTACTCCTCCCCTAGGCCCCACTCAATCTGATCATATGGGACCTCTTCTATACCACCCTCCTCTAATGTCAGGATCAAGTGATCCTTGGCCTTGACTTGACCCGAGATGGTACGATTCTTCCACTTCTTCCCCTTCTCCAGGTCCTTATGCCAGAAAGTGGTGACTGGCATAGACTTCGACTCATACAGGACGACTTCTCTCCTCAATGCATCGTAAGTGATGTCGGCCTGCTGAGACTTGTCAAAGAAATGCCCACATAGGGCCTCTGGAATGGCACGATAAAACAACTGGACCAACTGGGGCTCAGTGACCCCATGGTCCGGGACGGCTACCAAGTCGTCCATGGTACCCTTGAGTGCCTTGGCACTCCTCCACTGTCGTGAGTGGATCGTTTGCAGCTTGTCAGAGGCTTTAATGCCTCGCGTTGGGTCAGCGAAACGCTCCTTGAGGAGCTTGAGGAATTGGGAAAGAGGGGTGACTTTGGAATATGCAAACAGGTTGTTTTCACAACCGGCTCTACGCGCAAGAGACCTAGCGAAACTAGCTGCTTCGTCCTTGAGGGCCTGGAAGGCCACGAGGACTTGCTCCTCAGTTAGGATATGTTGCAAATAGATATAACTGTTGACACTGGCCTCCCAGTTGTCAAAGTTTTCCTCCTTCTTTCCCCCGTACGCATCGGGAAACTTGAGCTTTACAGGCTCTTTGCGGGGTCTACCTTCGCCCTCTGCAGCAGCTATGGCTTTGGCACCCTCAATGGCACCTTCGCAGTACTTCCCTACGTTGTCCCTCAACTGTTTCACTTCGCCCCCAATGAGGGTGACGATCTCGTGCGCAAACTCCCTAAATCCTGACCGCATGGCACTCAACGCTACATCCTGACTCCAACTAGCCTGGCGCTCCTCCATCCAGGCCTTGCTCAACACTTCCTGGTACCCCGGTACCTTGTCCCACTTGGCCTTATCGTCTCGCTGGGCCAATACCTCCGCTCTACATTCCTGCACCTTCGCTACTGCTGCGGTCATCTTATTCACTTCTTCTCTCCTCCTCCTCTTCTCCCTCTTCATTCTCAGCTTCCACTGCAACTTTTGCTCGTCTTCCCTCTCTCTTCGCTCCATAGGATCCGTCATGGTTGCTAGCTCAGCGGCCAATGCGACCTTCTCATCCTCAGTCACATACGACTCCGCCTCTTCATCTTCCTCCAACGATAAGTTAGCAACCCACTCGCTGATCTTCTTCTCAATCTCAGCATTTGTGTCCTTCTTCGTGTCGCTGCTCCCTTCTCTGCTTTCAATCCTCATCCTTTCTTTTTCCTCTTCTGCTGCCGCTTCTTCTTCGGCAGCCTTCTCCTTCTTCTTCATCTCCTCCTCCACTTCCTTCATCTTCACCGCCCGCTCGTCTGCGATAGCCTTTAGCTTCGCCTGCTTCTCACGCGCTTTTCTCTCCTTATTCTCTTTCACTATGGCGGCCATCTTCGCTAGTTGCTCAAGGGTGTAGGGATTAGTCTCCTTCCCAGTGCGGGTCTTAACCATGGTGATAGGTGTACAACCAGGTTAGAGGTTCCAAACCTCACCACGTAGACGCCAACCCCTGACTAACAGACCTACTGACTCAATCTAAAACTTACAGAATCCTGACAGGGATCCTGTCAACTATGGCCTCTAGCCTAGACCTATGCTATGGCTGTCACTACTGAACCAGTGGCTGATCAGGAGGCATTTAAGGAGATCCCCYGTAACTCCTCAAGAATTCTTAAATCGCAGACAGGACGACTTGACCTGCTTGGTTCTGCCTGTGCTTTCAGCCCACAACTCGGCCGTTCCGGCCTACTCTACCACACCGAGCAGCCCGCCGGTCTGTACCGATCCCTCGGAGGGTTTGACCTCCGGGACAGTCGAGTCGTCAGACACAAATCGTCAGCCTTACTAGGTCCGGTAGGGGAGTGGTTCAAACAGGCCCTCAACACTTAAAGACTGCCTGGTGTGTCAGCCCCAACTGCCGTTCAGGCCCACTGAGTCCTACCAACCGTTTCCAGCCGGTCAGCACCGGTCCTTGGGAGGGTTATGCCCCCCTGGAAAGTTGGATCAGCCACAGTCTYAGCCCTACAAGGTCAGACTAGGGTTTCGTCATCCAAGCCCTATCCTTCATCCACAGAGTACTATGACCTAGGACAGAAGAGACTCGATGCAGAAAGAATAGACAGACAGACTGCACTCAGCAAGTACCAAGGGGTATGTGCACATCCATAGGGCAAGGGGCAGGCTAAGGGCTTGGCGAGATGTTACMAACTCCAGCTTGGTCAAAGTCTTGGTCAACGCCTTGGTCAACGGCCTTGGTCAACGTCGGTCAACGCTGCTACGACCCTCGGTCAACTCCGATCAATCCTCTCGATCAACTCCCCGGTCAGCTATGGCTGCCGGCACTTCTTCCTCGCCAATCCCCTTGTTCTTCCTTACCTCCCTCGCCACTTTTCCCCCGCTGTCTTCTTCTTTCTCTTTTTTTTTTTTTTTTTTTTTGATCGGCCTCCTCTTAACCTCTTGGCTATGGCCGCTCCTTCCTCCTCCTCAGTCTCTCCCCTTCTGTCCTTCTCCATCCTACTTCGTCACTCTGTGGTACAGGCTCTGCGGCTATGGCCGCTGTCTTTCTCCTTCGTGGACTGCGCAGCAACTCCACAGGTACATAACAGCCAATCTTGAATCGCTC